GACGTGCACGCGCGTCAGCCCGGCCACCAGGACCCCGGCCTCGCATGGGGCTCCCGCCTCGTCGGTCAGCCAGGTGGCGACCAGCTCGGCCGTCGGCCGGTCGGGGCCCGGGGCCACGGTGTATCGCTGGGGATGGTGGCGATAGTGTTGTTTGTTTTCCCCACCCCCCGGCAGGATGGCCGGTCAGTCATCGCCACCAAGTGTGCATGCAGGAAGGCGAGGCGAGGGGGGCGGGGGGCAGGCCCAGGCCGGGGCATGCGCCCGCGGGCAGGGGCCGATCCCGGAGCAGGTGGCCGCGGTGTGGCCGCGCACCTGGTGCGTTTGAATGACGCCCGATCGGGGCAGGGCCCCGGGCAGCAGCGACGCCAGCAGCTCGGCGTCCTCCGGGCCCGGGGCATGCCCGCCGGTGGCCACCTGGCAGGTGGCCGTCAGCACCTCCGGCAGCTGGGTGCAGGACAGGACCATCGCGCTGCCGTCGGCCGGGAAGACCCCCCGGGCCGCGAGGATGTGAGGGGGGTGCGGGGCGAGGTCATGCGGGCTGGCGGCCCCGCGGCCGGCAGGCGGGGGGGGGGGGGAGGGGCGATCAGCAAGGGGCACCCCAGCAAGGGCGCGGCCGGGGCAAGGGCAAAGGCGCCGCATGGCCGGCTGCCGGGTACCACGCACAGGACCAGGTAATCGCGGTTCACCCGGAGCGCCGGGTCATCTTCCAGACAGTGCGCCTGGAGCGCGTGCAGGGTCTCGGCCGGGACCATGACGCACTTGCGATCCGGCCGGCCCGGGTCCCGGCCGAATACGACCGGCAGGCGCAGGTCCCCCGCCAGGAGCGGTGCCCGGAGCAGGACCGACGCCGGCCGGTCGAGGACCGGGAAATCGTCCCCCGGGGCGCTCATGTAAATGAAGGCCCGGGCATGGTGCATGTCCAGCAGCCCGGAGCCCAGGGGCCGCAGGTCGGCGCCGGCCAAGTGGACCAGGCGCGCGCGCAGGGTCGTATCCTGGACCGGCAGGTCCAGCTCCTGCCCGGCGGCAGGGGGGGGGAAGGGGGGCAGGCGATGCGCGGGCAAGTCAGCGGCAGTGCGTGCGTGCCCAGGAAAGGGGGCAGGCGAGGCCCGGCGGGCAGGCAGGCAAGGAGGGGCCGCATGGGGGGCAGCGTTACCTGTCCCTGTGAGAGGACCGACCGGTCGAGCATTTGGACGAAGGCCGCCACGAGGCCTGGGTGCGAGGCAAACATGAGCCCCGGCACGCCCTGGGCCAGATGCACCTCGACCAGGGCCACACGCGGCAGGGAGGCCGAAAGGCCGACCCGGCGGAAGCACTGCCCATCGAAGAGCCGGTCCCAGCTGTCCGGGCTGAGGGCAACCTGGCCGGCGGGCAGACGGCCCCCGGGCCAGGGGCCGGGCCTGGGCCGTGCGAATGCCCGGAGGCGAGAGGGGGCGGGGGGGGGGGGAGTTAGCCACAGCGAGGGGCAGCCGACGTGTGGTGAGTGCCCGACATACGCGATCATGAGCGCCCGGTCGCCCCAGGTGAGGAAGACGTCGCCCCGGCCCGGGAGCCCGCCGCGCAGGTGCTGGTAGGTGTCCGGGCTGACGATGGCCCGGCCGGGCGCCACGGCAACGCCCGGCGGCATGGGCCTCGCCTCGAGGCATGGGCCGTGCTCCGCCCCGGGGCCGGCGTGTGGCCGGTCGACCAGCAGCCACCGGCCAGGGCTGGGCCGAGGGCTGCCCGGGGCCAGGAACCGGAGGCACTGCGCCGCAGCGTGGCTGTCCATGGGCAGGAGCCCGGCCGGCCGGGCAAGGTCAGGCGAGCCGGCCCATGCGATCCGCTGGATGGCGGCCTGCAGGGCGATGCCCTGGCAGGCGAAAGTCAAGGGCTGGACCGAGGCGAGGGTCAGGGGGCGAGAATGTCGTGCGAAGCGGCATATGCATGCGTGTGCGCGTGCAGGGAGCGATTGCTGGGCGCTTGTTGGCCGCTGCGCGCACCCGGTCCAGGCGCATGGTGGCCCCGGCGTGGGCGGCCAGGAAGGCCCGCTTGAGCGTCTCGTCGCAGGGCAGGGCCCGCGCGGCGGCCGGGTCGCCGGCAAGGCGGATGTCCACGCGCGCGGCCACCGGCAGGCCCGGCGCAGGGTCCAGCCGCAGTGGCAGACCCCCGGGCAGGGCGAAGGCCGGCCAGTCGGCCGGCGGGACCAGGATGGCGAAGCGGGGCACGCCCTCGTCCGGGCTTCGAGAGCAGGAGGGGCGCAGCCGAAGCGACGTCAGCCCCGAGAGAGGAGGGGCGGGGGGGGGGGGGGGGGGAGAAAAGAGGAGGATGGCCGGTCGGCCGGGGGCGGAGGCACGCACCAGACATCAAACTGCGCCCCGGCGGCGGCGAAGGGGACGGCGCCCCGGCCCGGGCCCGCCGCCGGGCCGGCAAGTCGGCGGAAGGCCCCCGGCGATACGAGCAGTCGCCCGGCCGGGCTGCCGACGGCCCCGGGGGCCGGCTCCAGCAGGACCAGCTCGGGGGAGGCGCGATCCGGTGGCAGGGCCACCAGCCGGCGGGGCCCGGTGGCCGGGCCGCGCGGCGCGTGCACATGGAGGAGGGTCGGCTCGGGGCCGGTGGTGTGCGCCACGCCGGACGGCACGTCGGCGAATTGGCGGCTCATGAGCCGCACAACGCGGACCGAGCACTTGGGCGAGGCAAGGTCGATGACCTTGCCGCAGGGGGGCCGGCGTCAGCCCCGCGCACGGGCCGCGGCAGGCAGGGCGAGGCCACGCGGGCACGTACCTGCCCCACGCGCAGCGGGGCCCCGGCCAGCTGGGCCAGCATGCGAGCGCGGTCCGGCGGGCAGCCGGGCAGGTCGGTGTCCAGCCAGACCACGCCCAGGCCGGTGGGCGCCTGGCACAGGGCCAAGTCCAAGGGGCGCCCCTGGAGGCCGGCGCCGAGGGAGGCCAGCAGGCGCCGGCCGGCGCGCAGGGCTATGCCCGGGACCACGGGGCGCCGGCAGACGCTGCGACGCGCGGGTGTCAGCGCGTGCGCGCCAGAAAGGCCCATGCACAGGGAGCGGGTCGGGCAAGTGGCGCACCGGATTTCGAAGACGCGCTCGTTGCCCGCGGCATAGAAGGGCCCGGCCGGGTGGTCGGGCCGCCAGGCGGCCAGGGCCCGCGCCACCGGCCCGCCGGCCGGCGCGAACAGCACACCCAGGCTGGTGGCCGGAAAGTGCATGGCGCTGAGGGGGTAGCACCGCGCCGGGGGCGGGGCACCGGCGTCGGCGGGCTCGGGCGGCTGCTCCCCCGGCGGCCGCAGCGTCACCACCACCGGGGCCTCATGCAGGCGCACGCCCGACCCGGCCACCGGCAGGAGGTGCGTGTCGTCGGCGAGGAGGCCGCAGGCGACGGCCCCGGCCGCCGCGCGGAGCTCCAGGCACTCCAGCACCAGGCGCACCCGGTCGACCGCCAGGGGGAAGGTCTGGGCGGCGGCGGGGGGGCGAGGGGAGGGGATTTCGCCGGGCGGTCAGTGCCACGCCGTCAGGGCATGGGGCAGCATGTCAGGGGGGCGGGGGGGGGGGGGGGGGGCACGCCCGCACCGCGTGCAGTTGAAGCACCGCGCCGCGCGCGGCCAGCGCATGGCGGAGTGGCCCTTCGATGGCGGC